TTTTCGTGGCAGGTGTGGGACGGTCAATTATCACACCGTTTTAAATTTACAATAATAAAAGGCTTTCCGGGGTGACAAGTGACCGCCCACACCTTCCCTTGTCTCATGGTGTGGGATTCTAGGGGGATAGGGTTGTCATGAGTTTCAACGTCAAGAAGCGCAACTTTCGTTTGGCCAGTGTATATATATATATACATGGGCGATGTGGATTTCCCAATTTCGACAGCAATTTCACTCCAATGTTGATTTCCCCAAAGCCACACATCAAAAGGGGGGCAACTCTCCACCACTCCTGTCTGGCGATGTCTCAGACGTGTGGCGGAAATTTCCAGAAACACCCCCTTCTCATACACTCCGCCTCGCACACCATCGCTCCATCCGCATCGGCGAGGCACAAGTTTCTCAGCAAATCGGCCCCGGATTTCATCAATCTCACCTTGGAGTGCTGCCTTGGGCTGAGTGTGTCTGCGTGGAGAGCGAGAGCGCCAGCTTCGGAGCCGAGCCAACCTGACCTGGTGGCCGGAGCGCCCGTTTTACACGGAGGCATGAGCCTGATGCTCGAAGTGGACGATTCAGAAGAGAAGCTCAAGGCTCGGGAAAGCAGGGAATCCAATAAGCAGATGGTTATGATGGAGCCCCATGGCTGTGGTTCTACTCCAAATCGGAGAAATGCACAGCTGCTCAACTGCAAAGTCATCAAAAGCCGTGTCTTTTGGGCTCAACGCGATGGGCGCGGCACATTATGACAGAGGCGAATCGGACTTTTGAATTTTGCTAGGCAGCAGCCCATGAACTGAGGTTGCTTGATGTGACTTGAGTATGTTTTTGTAAGACAACCTGCAAACGAATGCCTTGAGCACATGCAGACACAGACAAACAAGCAAACAGACTTCAAGTCAAAATTCCGCCTTTTTCCTTGGGATTAGCCTGTTTTTCTTTTCACTAGTCAGAGGTTCTCAGTTTAGCCCTTCTCACCCTTCCCATCAGTCCTTAGATTTGGAAGACATGTGGTGACCGCAGTTCTCTGTGCAGCCATGTTTGCGCCCGGTCCCTCAGAATCGAACGCACGCCCCGACGTTCACGCGCGTTCACGCGGGCGAACCTTTGGTCGGCCCGTGCGTTTTCCTGTTTTTCCTGCTTAGGGCCGCTGTGCGGCAACCTGATGCAGAGGCAAGGTGGGTATAGCTCAAGATCGGGTAGCCTCAAGTAGAAAACATATGACCTGCAGACCTGCAGGTCCCCAGCCTTATCTTTTGAGCCCCATCCCTTTTCTAGGTCAAGCCCCCTGTGTCGGTCACTTTCAGGGTCGCTCAAGTAGTAGCCGTGTCGGTCTCAGCCCCCTTAGCTCCTGCTTCTTCAGAGGGTTTGCAGGAGACCAGGTAGCTGCCAACCCGACGTGGCTTTTGCGCACCAGCGACGGACCGGCAGGTGGAAGACGTGCCTTTGGATGATGATAGCACCAGCGAGGGAGGCTCCTGCATGGTAAAGCAATGTATTCAACGAGAGGAAGGCGAACCGTTTGCTGAGCTGCTTTTGCCAGGCAACTCGCCCCCATGCAGGGGAGACCCAATGCAGTCCCCAGAAGAGAGCCGATGCCCTAGTTGCAGGTCTTTAATTTCAAAAATGCATCGTTTCCACATGCAGATGTGCCAATTGTGTGTGTGTGTGTTTGAATTTGTGTGTGTTGGGCAAGCGGTGCTGACCTGCACAAGACATTCCTGGGGACAAAAGGTTTGTAAGTGGTTCTTTTGAACACCACTGGTGCTAAGAAGCACCCGGGTAGTTCTTATCTTGTCAAGATTCAAGATCCAGCCTTCTTGGCCGATTCTGAGGCGAAGCTCCAGCACGCGTGTGGGCATCCAAAGGCATCACGGGTCTCCTGGAGACCGTAGGCGCGAGCCCGCTCGTGCGCATCGTGCGGCGCTCGGCGGTCGCCGGAGACGTCGTCCTGCGCTGCCTGGAGAAGTCGTCCGTCGGTCGGTCGGTCCAGGGGGACGTCGAGTGGAAGAGGAGGTCCTGGAGAACAGCGTCTTGCTGAACGTGTGCGCGGAATGTTCGGCTCTTTTGGGGGGTCGATCTCGGACGGACGACGGACGACTTCGGTTGCTGTAAACATAGAGTGTGATATGTGTGATGGGATGCTGAGATACTAATTACTCATGACAAGTGATGATGGACAATGGGTTGGGAAGTTTGCATTAGACAGATTTTCTTTTTTGTACTGATCCGTTAGGTACGATGTCAGCGATAGTAGAAAGCTTAGAGCTGTTTGGAGAACTTGGAGCACATTGCTCAAAGATTCCAGGCAATCAAACGAGACTCTAATTTTGTTTGGATCTTGTATTTGAACCAAGCAAACAAGGCTGCCGCAGTTGAAAAAAGCCCAAGAAGGCGTGCAACAAACAAGGCTATACAATGGGCAGACCAGCACCGACACCCCCAAGCTCCAAAAAGGCCAGCAACTCCCGGCAAAGACCTATAAAGCAATGCTTGGACTTTCAAGCCATTCAGCAGACCTGGCGCGCCCGGTCAGCGCAGACACGGATGAATCAAAGGTGATAAAATTGGGGCTGAGGTGATGTCATCCAGAGGGTGAATCGTATCTTCACAGCTGATGACACCGTCCTGGCTGGAGGACGGATTGGTGTTGTTCGTTTTAATTTCTTTTTCAGAAAAGCTGTGATGAAGAACGCATCAGCCGTGATCGGATGATTGATCTGATTGATCGACGGATGGGTGCTGCTCTTCGCACCGAGGAGTCTTCCATGCAGGCGTTGAGGTGAGAATGCTTCGTGTCACCTCCTCGTCACATCGCAAGAGCTCGCGCGTGATCGCGCATTGCGCGTTCGCGGTGCGGTGCGCAGCTCGCAGGTCTATGGGAAGGAATGGTGCTATGGAGCCACCGTGCCAGGTGCCTCAGGGAGGCCTCAGGGAGGCCTCAAAGTCCAGCATCGGGTCGAAGCCACCGTCCGTTTTGGCTGAGGCCGGGTCGCAGTGGAGTGGGCGCTGCCAGAGGCTTAGATGGACATGAAGAACGGAAAAAGGTGGGAAGGAGCGGATTTGAAGATGGTGTCAAGGTAAAGCCACGCTTACATCCACAGCACCGGCCGGGCAGCCTTTCTAGAAGCATATGAAATCGGTTGATCAACTTGAATCAGAAAACATGCAAAGTGGATGCAGGTATCGTGCTACTGTGCATATGGGTGCACCTGGCGAGATGTTTAAGACATGTGGCCAGACTGTGCCGTGGCCCCTGTGCAATCTTAAGCGACTGGAGAACCTGACTTCTGTGTGAGGATATCTCCTTGCCAGGAAATACTGAGAAGTCACCGGACGAAATCAGCCGAATCTTGGTATGTCGCTTTGCTGATCTGTGGACTGAACAGTTGGTTCACGTGATTCTATGAAAGGAAAGAAAAGACAATGCGCAGGCGGAGAAGCCTCAAAGTTCGGTTTTTTTTGACCGGTAAATCGGTGAATCACAGAGGTTCTACAGTCCATGTTCTCCACTGCTTTCACCCGAGGCATGGCGTCTGAATGGCCTGGAGCCTCTCAAACCACATGAGCATAGACGGAGCCCAGACGGGTGACCCGGTGTTCGGCCCCCTGAGGCCTGGAAGCGCTTATGATCTCATCCATCACAACTGCCTCACGTTTTGCAACGTGCGGAACTGAGGTTTTGACAGAGGTGTTTTGCGGGCGTTTGAGGGCCATGAAATACCTTTGGTCACGAAATCCAGTCACCGGTCATTTCCAAACAGTGTCCATTTTTGATTCAGTCACTAGTCGCTAGTCAATAACATCAGTCATTCGTCAGTCACTGCTGTTCCGGCCACAGATGTTTGAGAGGAACCCTCAACAGGCTTGTTGGTTCAAACCGGCTGAGGTTCTTCTGGGCGAGTTAGGCTTGCGCCGCATTCCAGGGTGGGTGGGGCCCTTGGAATGAGGTACAACCAATTCGAGACCGTTCAAGTGTCTGGTGCAGCCAGGTAGATCGAGCTGCACGAGCAGCCAGCCAAGTGGATAAAGCGGTCAAAGCAGTGAGGACGGGTGCCCAGCTGTTTTGTAACTTTGGTTGCTGGTTGCTTCGCTCTGAAATCGCTTGACCGTCTCAGCCACAAAAAGGATTTTGGTACCAGTGAAAGTTTCACTTTCAACACCCCTTTGGTCTTGAAGGATATGGGAATTTATGACTCCGAGTGCAGCACACCCGTCCTTCAGGAGCATTAGTGCTGATGAGGCGCGCGGTCGCCAGCAACGCCCCACACGGATGTGGTCACAATTGCGGATGGGGTCAACCCGCGGACCACCGGTCGGTACCGCTGGTCAATTAAGCCCGATACATAGCGCCACAGCCACTTTTCAGACATCCGGTCGGTACCCTGGTAGGTTGACTGAGAACCGGTCAACCGCTAGGTGACCCACAGTGAGACCCACAGCCAAAGCTTTGGGTTTTCGTCGAGCATTCTGAGAGACCGTCTTCACATCCTATCACATCCCACCGCGTGCGGCTGTTTCCCAATGCGTTCCCCGATGGTGCAGGTGCAATTGCAGGCAGAAGAAACCTTGCAAACGCTGAGGCCTGGCATGTCGGCATCACAACATACAGGTCGGTTCTCTGCCCAAGGACAAAACAACAACCCACAGGGTAAGCTTTGGATCACCGTTTTCCGTTCTATTTGCTGGAGAATATGTGCACAGATTATACATGACACATTGGACCAGCTCACTGACTGAGCCTCCCAAAGCGTGAGCGAACATCAGCAGCGAAACCTGCCGATGTGGCGCCACCGCGCCGGTGCCGCGTCGCGCCGCCGCGTTCCGCCGCGGTTCCGCCGAGGCGCGATTCCCTTGCCGCCCTTGAGGCGGCCAAAGGTGGGACGCAGAAGTTCCTGGAGCGCGTGCAGGAGAGAAGCTTTGGACAGAGAGTTCGGGGTCCGAAGAGAAGTTCTTTCAGCCGGCATGTTTGTTTCATGCTTTAGTCACATTGAGTAGAATGGTCGTTTTGAGGCAGTATGGGAAGTTTCACGCACATTCACACACACACACACATATATATATATATATATATGTAGACAATATATATATATATATAGATAATTATTTAGATCACTATATAGCACACCAGCTACTGTAAGCCTTTTGATACTGGAAACAGATCCTGCGCAGGAGCAAGCGCAGCAGCCTTTGTCCGAGGCTTCCGAGCTGGCCGGTCGCGCCCGGGGGCCCGAGCTCGCCACGCTGGCCTGGCCGGGGCCCGGGCCAGGGCGGCCAGAAGGGTCACCGGGCAAGCAGAGAAAAAGGGGTGGTGACATGGATCTAGATAGGGTAGAAGTATGGAGGTATGTAGAAGTTCGTATCAGAATGTATGTGGCTTCTCTTGAATGTATCGCGTCGCAGTCCTGAGGCACAGGAACAACTGCAATCAGTGGGTGCTAGCATTTGGCAGTGCCAGCCTTATTGTTGCTGTTCAGTGCCACGATCAGGTCCAACCACCCTGCTCAGTTGATAGATGGTTCAAGAATTCTAACCTACCCAGATAAGAATTCTCAACCGGGTCTTGGCTGTACCCCAAGTGCTTTATTTATTTAAAAGAAAGGATCGTTTTTTTTGTCATCGCTCCGCAACAGTCCACTGCTTGTGGGGGGCGGCAGATGGCCAAAGAAACAGGTACTTCTCAGGGAGCAAAAGATGTGCAACCAAAGTCAACTTCTTCAGGTCCTTCTCCCCATTCACCAACATGTTTGGCCTTTTTTTTTTTTCAGGATTCTGTCTGTCTTGCTGTGGTTTAGTTGCGCAGAATTCCGAAGGAGCTTCTGAGGTGGGGCCAGAGCTTCCAGGAGTCTGTCGGCATGTCCGAGGCGGGCGCACGCACACACCTTCGCTGCACTGAGCCATTCCGGTGGACGTCACGGAGCGCAGGGAGACGTGTATTTTAATAGGGAGACACCCTGGCTGGCTGGGTAGACTTGACTGATCTACTTCCTTTCTTTTTTGCAGGGTCGAACTGGAAGGTCTCCCTATTTTCATACACACACCATATGTGAATGGATGCCTGGTTGGCTGGACATTCTTCCAGTCGTCCGAATTTCAGGCAGCGGTGCCAAACCTGTCCGACATTGGCAAGAAGGCTGAGGTGCGATGATCAGTTTGGTTTTACTTACGCTCGAGTTATCTGTGGGCATCATCACCCCCTATTTAACCCCTGGTTTGTTTCATGAACATGTCGCGTTTGGTGTGGTAAACGTTTGCTCCGACTCCGTGTTCTTCGTCCGCCAGGATAATTGGCAGTCCTTCTCTGACAGCCTCCGCAGTTGGGGTGAGAACGTCACCAAGGACCTCAAGCAGACGCTGGAAGGGCCCAATTCTTAAGGTAAACAGCTTGACACACACACACACATAGACCAAAGCTGCTTCATGTTGGGAATCACATTGCAGAGCATCACATTGGGTGTGAGGGAGCAGCAGGGTGTGTCCGAGGTCGAAGCCCGGAAAGGCGGGTGCCGGTGCCGGTGTGTGGCACTGAGACGCCCTTTGTGCCGCGGCGCTGGGCCACGTCTCACCGTTCACGGTGCCAAGGGCTACCGGACGGAGACGGACCGCTGTGGCCTCGGTGCGGAGACTGCCCGGTCCGAAGACGCTGCGGTTTGGACTGAGGAGATGAGCGTGGGACTGCTGGGCTCATCAAGGCGGGGGACGCGCTGCGGGGGATGCGGTAGGGGGACGGTAGCGGTAGAGCTTGGAGTGCAGAAGTGGAGGGTGTTTCTTGGAGGCACAGGAGGCCAGCTTGCTGAAGCAGGGCCTTCTGGAGGACTGAAGGGCGAAAGAGAGCCCAAGAGATAGCCCAAGAGAGTAGAGCCTCTTTTCAAAGGTTCTTGTTTTTTCTCCTGGATGGATATTCATAATTTGCCGTTGTTCATTTGTTCAGTTCTATTCACTGATAGGTGTCGTTCATTTTGAACCCTTCTGTCTTCATGGTAGAGCTGGGATCAGCTGTTCATTCTGCAGGATGAGGACGAGGGGGACTCGGAGCACCAGGAGAGCCCGCTTGTTTCTTGGTTCACGACATGTTTTTGGAACCGTTGGTGATTCGAAGCAGCAGACCTTTGCATCCGACCATGCAGGAGGGGCTGGTGATAGCTTGTGCTAGTGTTCGTTGCTTTGCCTCTATTGGATGCTTTCATCCTGTGTGCAGGCGCCGACATCTTTTCCTACGGGTGCTCAGCAGTGCAAAGTCTCAGATTGGCCGTAGGTTCACTCGAAAGAGCTGCAGGTCTCGGTCTCACCGGTTTCGTTCAGAGTTCTTTTTACCTTTCCTCTTTTACAAGCAGCTCTGCTTGTGGCCACAGTATCCGGTGCAAGAGGATCCATCCGGTAGCAGTAGTCCTTCCATGTCTCGGTTTTGGGGTTTTGAGGCGTGACCTTCTAGATGACTGGGACGCGGCCGGGCTTCAATCCGCGGTCTGAAGATGGATGCGGTCTGAGCTTCAATCTGACCCTCAGACGACTCTTCTTTCCTTCGCTTTTTTTCGAGACAAACCCACACAAAGTGCATTCCGGAGCTCATGTTGGCTTGTCGGTTCCGTCGCTTGCGGAAGCTTCTCCTGGCCAGGCACCTGCGGCGAAATCCAGTCCACCCGAGGTGCAGACCATCTAAGAACACAAAACCTGCGTCGTGGCCCGCGCGATGCGACGGCAAAACCGAGAAAACCGAGAAAACCAGAAAACCGAGAAAACCGTTCTCGCGTTTTGCCGTGTGGAAGTTTTTTCCAGTTTTCTTAGGTCTTCTTGCTTGTCTTGTCTTTGAGCGTGAACACGAGAAAAGCAAGAAAACAGGTTTCGCCGTTTTCCCGTTTTCGCCGTTTTCCCGTTTTCGCCGTTTTCGCCGCTTTCGTCGTTTTCGTCGTTTTCGCCGTTTTCGTCGTTTTCGCGGTTTTCCCGTTTTCGGCGTTTTCGCCGTTTTCGCCACTTTTGTCGTTTTTGCCGTTTTCGCGTTTTCGCAGACCATCGACCCCCCCTCATTTTGAATCGATTTCGGCGTTCAAAAACAACGATCCTTTTCCGCGCACGGAAAGGCCGGCGCGTTTGGGCTGCAGATGTGTTTTTGCTTTGCGGTTCATGTGAGCACACTTGAGGGCACAGATATGAGAGGACACACATGAGAGCACACATGTTAGAGCACGCGTATGAGAGCAAGCACACGACAGCACACAGATTAATGAGAGAAAACCGAGAGCACACATCTGAGAGCACACATATGAGAGCACACGCACACAAATATTATGAGAGCCACGCCACACACACACGAGTCCGTATTACAAAACCTGCACCAAGTACTGCGGTTGTCACGCAATGTGCACATGAGAGGCTCACCAAGTCTCCACAAGAACCCCAAGTGTGCCCACACTTCAGAACCAATGCCCAGCTTTCGTCCATTTCGCTGCGTTGGGCGAAAGAGCAGTCGAGTCGTTGCGCCCCGCCCACCGTCGATCGGTCCTTCGGAGGCGAAGGTGGACCTCCTGGCCTGAGCGCCGCGCCGTTCCGTCGTTTCACCGCACGGGTTGCGAGCCAAGCCGTTCCGTCGTCGGCGTGCGCCCGGAAGGGGGCGGAAGGATTCTGTTCTTTTTTTTGGTTGAGGTTTCCCAAGTTTCTTGGTAACTTTTCATATCTTTGCTCTAGTCTGCATATTGGTTGCACGCCATTGGCCGCAACACGGAGTAGCAACATAGACTGGCTGCTCGAGAGCGTTGGGTGAGAATTGCATCTAGTTTGCTGTTTTACTTGCGTTGATGATCTTCACGGAATCATGTACCTTTGGTAGTAGGTTGACCCTCTCTTTTCTTGTGGTGGTGTGTCACAACCTGCAACTTGCTTGACAGGAATGGATTGAGCGCATGGATGACGAAGAGGGTGAAGAGGATGAGGAAGAGCTCCCCTTGCCAGCAAAAGCACAAAAAGAAGTTTCGATTCGGAGGTCAATGGCACAACTTACCGCACAGGATGAGCTCTTCCACACTGGTGAAGAGTGCATTGACCGTGTGGCCGAGGCCGAATGGTACTTCTTCGAAAATCGTCGACATCTGTGGGTTGCTGGGTGGATGTTGAATGACCAATTAGGGCTTGATATGGTTGTGATGCCGATCCGCGAGCTGTTCCATTCTGTTTGGCGCGTAGAGGTCTGGGATGTTCAGAAGGTGATTGGCGCGTTCTTCGTTCAGCGCGCGTTCTGTTCAGCTCCTTTCCCGCGCCGCAGCCGATCCAGGCCGCTGGCATGGATGTGATTGGGCAGGGCCTGTTCCGTCTGATTGGTCACTTCTCTTCCCAGGACCCGGGGGGTTGGACGTAGAAAGGAAGACTGGGGGCTCTTGTTACTAGTAGCGATGCCCTTTCTTCCTAGTAGCTTCTTGCCACTAGTAGTATGGCTAGGAGCGCCCCGTTCGTAGCGTCCTTTGCTCCGTTCGAGTCGCGATGCCTTTGGGTCTTCGAAGATCTGAATTCATCCTGGCTTGAGTCACTTCCGCAGAAACACCACCGCAGAAACCAATTGAAGGCAGCACACAATTGCAAGCAAGTGAATACCCTGATAGGAAGGGTAAAACATCCTGGCCCATACTTTTAAAACCATTGGACACTCTTCCGGAAAGCTCTCGCTGACTCGTCTTGAGTGCACGGTCTTAATGAACCGCAAAACAACCGCGGCAGTATTTTTTCACACCAAAGAGAAACATCCGCAGATGAAAAAAACGTCCCATTCCGTCTATGGCGCTGAGCGCCGTTCTGTGCGTTGAGCTCCTACGGCAGGAGTCGTGGCAAGCCAAGCATGCCGCGCTCGCGGCGGTGAAGCAGACCGTCGAATACGTGGAGGAGCAGCGAAAAGAAACACGTGTCACGGGACATGTCATTTTCGCAGCTCCCTGGGTGGGTAGGGACATTTTGAAGGGCAGATTCGATTTCGTGAGTGTTTGAATCATGATTGAATCCTTCAACATCCCTCCCTCCCATAAAACACCTTGTTCAGGTCGTTGCAGCTCTCCTTCAGTGCACATGTTGCATGTCAGGAGCAAGCTCACGTGGATGAGATGGCCAGGCTGCTGCTCAATCATGTCGACCATCCCCATCCCAGGTGCATTTCGCGGGTTTCGGGTGAAAGAGATTGAAAGAGTCGTTGGTCACCTTTTGAAAGCAGATTTTTGCGAAGCCACTGGCTTCTTGACCACCTCTTGCCTGGTTGGTGTTTTGATGGCGAAACCGCCAGGGTGAGATTCACTGCGCTGCATGGCCTTGGCTCGTGTCCCAGCGTTTGGTGTTCTCCATTCGCAGCGATTGGCTGCGCAGATTGGCGATTCGCAGCATTCCCCATACCCCACATGCGGCCAGCGCTGCAGGACAGTTGGCCAATGACCAGTCTCCCCATTTTCAGGAGGGGTGTGGCCTTCGATGTGTTGACGCTTGTCGCCTTTGCAGCAGACTTTGAGCTTTTCAATACATTTCCTGCCACTGATTGATCTTCATAGGATGTGTCAGGAGACCTCCCACCAGCAAGTCATGCCCGTGCTCACACGCAAGATGGACGACCAGGTGCAGAAATGGACATTTGACGACTTTTGTCCTTTTATTGGAGAAAAGGGGGGTGAGAAAACCTTTTTCTTGACACCTTGACTGATTTTGAGATCTGAGTGGAGATCTCTGGATGCATTTCCTTTTTCCTCCAAACAGTCCTGTTGGGGTTCTCCACAGTTTGGCCGCACCCCTGAACCCTGTGTCCGGGTGTTGTCCTCCTGCTGTCCTCTTCTTGTCCTCCAGTTGTCCTGCCGTTGTCCTCCTGCTCCTTCCTCTGCCCGTGCTCGCAAACCCTGCGTCCTCCTCTTGTCCTCTTGGTGTCCTGTGCGAACCCGTTGCTCTTCTTTGGTCTGGCCGCGCTGGCTCTGCGCTGGACGACCAACATCGGAATTGGAGTTGACCCAAGAAACATGCCTTCATCTCTTTGGGGTCGCTGGTAGACACCTCTCCGACGGACCGCACCCACCGACGGTGCGCGCGCTGCGGATCGCGGATCGCGCAGATGGACCGCGTGGCTGCGATGGCCATGTCTGCCTTTGTGTCCTTCGGGGAGGACCAGCCGGGTTCGGTTCCGACGAGGCGAGGGGTGTTCGAACACCACCCCAGGTGGCACCGAAGTTTCGGGAGGCACGCGAGTCTAGTTCGGATCTCCGCACCGGGTCGGGGTCAAGTTTTGGGGGAGGGAAACGGCTGAAAACAGGCACGCGTGGCAAGGTGGGAGTGTGGGTGACACATTCTTCTGAAGGGTTGGCAACAAGATCTATCCAGATCGCACCGTGGGCATGCGCATTTAGAAGAATGGACAGATAGACTTTTCCTGGGGAGTCTGCCTATGGCTTGAGTATTCCGGTGCTTGAGTATTCAATGCCTCATCTCGTGTCGAGCACCGCGTGCCGCAGGAGTTGGACAATTCCCTGATGGCTGGGTGCCGGACGGGACGAGACGAGACGTCCGGCTTGGAGAAGACGGAGGGTGGAGGTGGAAGGAGGGGTCAAGGAGCCTACATATTTGGACATCGCGTGTTTCCTCATGTGCTTGTGAAGATCTCAAGAGTTGGTGGATGCGAGGTCCAACCATTTCCTCTTCCCACTGCCTTTCTTTCTTCTTGCGTGAATCGTAGAGGCTGAGAGTTTTCTTTGCTCGTCCTAATTCCGGACTTGACGATCCGCAGCTTTCAGCTGCCTGGTTAAGAAGCAAAGACTACGAGCGAAAATGCGAGACCCATGCTGGACACCACCTTGGACATCCCACACTTGGTGGACACTTTCTTCGAGCGGGACTGGAACAGCGTTCAGTAGATGCTGGGAACTTCCAAAGAGACTTCAAGGCGATCCCAAGGACCGGTCTAGTGAAACGGCGGCCAACGGCCAACCAACTTGGTAGACACAGCTGACGCGGTAGAGATTCAAGCATATTCAAGGACGTTGAATTTCTTGCCTGGATCTCTGACACCATGGCATATCCAATGCCCTGGCGGCCGCAGCACTCGCCACACTCGCCGCCCATCACGCCGCATGTGCCGCATGCATCCCATGCGCTGCATGGCGCGCCGGGTGCACCGCAGGAGCCCAATGGCGGACGCCAAAAGGACGCAGGTTTTCATCACAGGTTTTCACATGGAGAGCCATTGTATTGTAGACATGGGGTGCTGTATGTGCTGTTGGCATCCAGGAGAACGGGAGAATTAAGGATTCTGACACATGACAAGTGGTGCTCAAGTAGAAAATTGCTTCAACTCCAAATCTTTTAAAGGGACCATGGAGCCTCAATCTCTGAAACCGCTTGATTGCTTTTCGTTTCGTACAGTAAACATTGGAGGGTCAGAAAGCAAGACTCGAAAGCAGGAAGGGAGGTCCGGACAGAAACGTTGCTAAAATCCATTAGGTCCCTAATAGCAAGACAAATGTAAGAACAATGGCCTCCAACCTAAAAAAGTCCTTGGACACTCTGCAGTCCGATGAAAGCCACCTCTCATCTCCTCAGGCGCATGGCTTGAATGCCGGACGACCGCCTGTGCCGCCTGTGGCCGCTGGGAACGGCTGGCCATCGCGACCCTTTCCGCCACCTGCGCAGCAGCCTGCAGCACATCCGCCGCGTCAGGCGCAGCATTCGCAGCACCCAGCGCCGCAGTTGGTGCCTCAACCAGCACCACAGTCTGCACCAGCCGCTCTACATGCACAAAGGACTGGCATGACAGATCCGGCGTCGACAGGTCATCGGTGTCAGGCATGACTGATCGGGCACTGAATCGGTCCTCCTGTGAAGCGAGACGTCTCGGCTCGGAGGACCTTCGATTCAGCTCGTGCCCTCAACGGAGCGCGAATGCCTATGGTGCACACGAGTGGACAGCGACTTGGTGGTAGATTACGTGGGATCGAACTGGGGTGCACACTGGGAAGATGGAAGTGGGCACCCGAAAAGAACACAAAGGAAAGTCGTCTCCCTTTCGGGAGCATTTTTGACTTGCATGTTCATGTAGACTCTTGATTAGTACACCCCCCATATGAAGAGGATTTTCGATTCAGGCGTCTAGGCCCAAAGCCTTTCGCCTTTGGGCACACCGGGTTCCCGCGGCTGGGCTGCTCCCTTCGCAGGGAGGGTCCAGCGTCCACAGAGGTCTCAGGACCGACCCGCCTGAGACCTCGGTGGCAACTTGTGCCTTGGCGCGCCATGGTTGTGGGATTGGAGCGCTGGCATGTGGCCGTCGAGCGGATGATCGACGAGCCATGGAGAGGGAGAATCAAGAGCTTCTTCCAGGACCGCCGTGCAACGGCTCACCTGCTTAGGCCTGGTGGGAAGGTGGTCATCTCTGGAATGGTGGCCCTTGCGACCGAAGCTGTTCTCGAAGTCGAACCATTTGAATTCAACCCAGGCCGAGGGTTCGTTGTGCCTTCGCCGAAGGGTTCGAAGATCAGGGTGGCTGTACCGGAGCTGGGACGAAGAGCTGTTTTTCCTTCTGTGGGCGACC